CTTTTATTAAGTGTTTTACTTAAGTTATTTTATGATCTTTTACTTATGTAAGGAAAATGAGTATCGATTTTTTATTATCCAGTTACGCAAAATTCCGATATAAAAGATTTTCATACTTCACCAAAGAAGTAGTTTATTATAAGGATCTTATTAATTTGTTTATTAATTAGTAAATATTCATTTAATATATAAATATTTACTAATATTTTTTACAAAATAAGCGACCCTATACGATCGGACAAAAAAATATCCAATGTATAATGAACTCCGAACTAGTAAAGTAGATTAAACAAATATTACACTGGCCTTTGGATCAGGATATATTGGATTTGCCCAGAGCTTTAATGCCGCCCATACAATTGTTTGCTAATTAAATAGCACTTTGTGTAAAGATCAAAGTAAAACGAGGGTGAAACTATTTGATGTAAACAATTCCTTTTGTGGAATTACATAACCTGTAAATGTAAAGAAAAGACATTACATTTCGTGATTTTTTCAATTATTTATGTATTCTTTATTAAGCTTCTCAGAGGTAAAATATCTGAGGGTGAATATAAGTTATAACAAATATAATCCGAAGAATTTTACCTTTATAACATTGTAATCACAGACTTATTAAAACAGACGCTTGTAACAGACATGCTTAGGTCATAAATTTAAACACAATTTTTTTTCCAAATAAATCAATACACAATAAATGATATTGACAGCCAACTAAATGTTTTAATAGAATTTCTCATTACTATTGAATCCGACTATGGATGTTAAAGTCAATATATTCGATCTATCAATATAACAAATTTAATTTCTAGATTTTAGATATATTTATTCAAAACTACCTTAATTTATCAAATGGACCTTTAAGGCCTCACAACAAACAAATGCAATATTAGCTATTTAAAGGGGGAACGCTGCCAGTATCTTCGGAACCTTGCCTAAAGGGACTCCTTTTAATAATACATTTTAGTTAATTATTCGTTTTTAATATTTTATTTAATATTATAGATTTAAAACTCTTCATTAAATGCAATATTAATTTGGTTCTTTACTATCCCTTTGATATATTATCATACTTAATGATTTAACTTTACTGTTTTTTTATGTCGTTCGCATAATTTTCCTCACTTTTCGCTTTATTGTATTACAGCTATTGGTATATGTTACTTGTAAAAAATATTTTTAATTATCTATTTATACATAAATCAAGACAATATTAATTATTTTCGCTAATTGGTTTTGGAATTATTAACAAACATGAGATTAAATTTCAAACGCAAATAGTACTTATCTTCTATTGTGAAAATTATTAGAATTTACATATGAAGCTTTCTTTGAATATAAATTCTAAGAATACATCAAGAGATTTTCCCTAGTTCAGGCTTAGTACTCAATACGTTGACAGAGACGTGGGAATACAAGAAAGGATTATTTACATATACTTAAGTACATTTTGTTTATCAAGATAGAGACACGTGCGGTATCGTACGATTGTTAACTCATCGTAAACCGCCGTTGAGGATAATCGACAGACGCAATTCAGAGTCCATTGATCTGGCAAATTCATCTCGTTCGCGAGGTTTTAGTAGTTATAACTATACTCTTTGTGTCTACGAATTGAGTGATAATGTTTATAACTTGATAGTCTCGTATAAGTTAATACGATGTACGACAATAGAGTTTAATTTAATTGCCCATTAGATGATGTTCTACGAAATGCGATTGTCATGCGGCAGTAATCAAACCAATCCACCTGAATTAATCTGGATGATTGTGTAATCTACATAACGGAAAACTTAATTATGTAATGAATTATATAATACAAAGTTATATAATAATTATTGTGGTAAAAACGAACAAAGAAACCATATGATTCGAAGTGACATGACAGCTAAGAAATTAATCAATAGAAAATAGTAATCTTACTAATATTATAAATGCGAATGTTAGATACTCGTAGATGGATAGATGGTTGTTTGTTTGAATGTACCTCCAGAACTGCTGAACGGATCCTTCTGAAACGGCAGGCTACTAAATAGATTTTTTTATAATTTCGCGCGGACAGAGTCACGGGCGACAGCTAGTACATTAAAATAGAGAAAGTAAGGTCTGCATAAAAATAGCCAGTAACATATTTATTGATTTTCGAAACAAATCCACGTTATTTTAAATCAGTAGCTCGTAAAAATACTATAACTATCAAGGCAATAACATTTGACGAGTCGAATCTCTTATTTTTGTTTGGTACATGTGACGGAAGCTGCTATTGCGCCAGCTAAATTGGACCATTACTTCTCAATAAACGAACTATTGTCTCCCGTCTCCCTAGACTAAACAAACCTGATTGGTCGTATAAACTTCGGGATCAATTCTTCAGAGACGAAATTTATTTCACTTCCAAATTTTAACCATAAAATACGCAATTTAACTTTTGTATACGTGAGGGAACTAAAAACAAACGCTATATTTTATATTCTCCCAATTTTTAGATCCATTTAGGTATCTTTCTGAAACTTTTCATAAATAAAAATCCTCATGTAATATGCAAAGCGTTAAAAGTAATTTGCAGAATATTGAAAGAACAAAGTAGTAGGGAATTTAACCTAAGCTTTAATTTCCTTTTATTTTAATTTGTGCTTAGTTATATCTTAATATTAATGTCAGTGTTCTCATACTTAAGTTTAAATTTACGAATCTTTACTAACGAAGAATCCAATTGTCACCTCGATTTATGTTAATGTTGAACGCTATGTCAATTTAGTTTATATTATTATATCAATAGATGGCGGAACATATTATTAGATTACGATATTGATTTATTTGGTATGTTTATCGACTTGCCGATCGCATTTAAATAAAGTTGACTCGCACCAAGATATAACCAGTGTTTCATTGTGACTACTCGATACTTCTCCAGTGAGAGGGAGACCTTTTTGAGATTGCTTTACAGTTAAAATACACATACGTAATGTATGGATCGTATTATTACAGTTTACAAAGTGTTTTACATAAATTCATTATAAAAAGTTTAATAACATGACACTTAAGTATAGAATATAAATATTATTATCATTAATTTTATGCTTAGATTTATATTTACAGTCTGCTCTTGCCGTTTAGTATGTTCATGATTAATATGCCACACGTATGAATACGACGAATGTTACTCCGCGATAATAAAATGTAATAATAAATAAGAGAAACCGGAAAATACCGGATTCTCTTTCGTAAAATCTCGGAATTGAACGATTGACCATACCATCGTAAAAGATAACCCTAACACGAGACGATAATTTGAAGTCATAACATTTAACATTATCTGTAATGACTTAATTATTCTAATCTAATTCAATTAATAATATTATTATTAAACAATAATAATTAATAAAAAAATACATTTTAAGGAAGAACGCTTTTCTTAAAAGATATAATTCGAAATAGGTAATTGTGGATATTGCGAAATGTCTAAGTGATAATCTACAAATAAGTAAATGGTCTTATCCCTTCTTTCTTCATAACTCAAATGGCTTAGGTTTAAATGCCCGTCGTAGTAAATTGTCCAATATTCACCTTTTAATTAATGTAGAACAAAAATATCCCGTTAAATCCCAAAGTCACTAGTTTGTAATGTTACAAAGTTTTAGTTTTGAACAGTTTTTTTTGGGATCGTAATAATATTAACAGTCCAGAAGTGGGGCTATAAATTTTCCTCGTCTCACGCATATGTCGAGCGCACCAATAATAACTATCTTAGCCTTGGGTTTATACTGTTGAAACACGTATCCAAAAATATATTGTCATCTCTCTTATTAACTTTTGAAGAAAGAGAGATAAAGATATGTTTTCGAATAGATGAAACGACAGTGGAAACTCAAAGTTATACTATGAAATAGGTGTCTTAACACACCTTTTTCATATACAGAGAGTAACAGCTCAGAATTGACATATGGTTGAGTTCCAGTGTGTTTGAATGCAAGAAAAATGGTTCATCTAGAAATAACTACAGATACATATTTAAGACAAAGAACGGTCTTAGTATAGAGTATTATTTAGTTATTATAGATTATATTGTCGTAATGTAAATTCATGTAAGAGAATAAAAAATATATTGCTTAGTAATATTTCCTTTAATGATCGTAACAAGTCTGAAAGTTAGTGTTGCGAGATAGTTCATGACTCGATTCACTGAATGAAAATTGTCTAATATTAGGTACGAATGAAAAAAACAGAAATGTTTATTTTCCCTCGGTCTACGAACGGGCAGCTAAGAACATTTCTTTACCATGCCTGGCAATAAAGCAGGTCAACGATGCGATGTACTAACGTATAAAATAATCTGAACTTATCTAAAAACCTAACGAGATTCGAAATAAAACTGGCCGCAGCATTGTGGGTTTACGTTTCGTTGTAACATATATTTTCTGGGTTGGCATGTTTCAAATAACTAGGATTTCTTATAAAATAATCTTTTTTTTCTTCGTAAATACGAAAAGGTGTCTTATATGCTTTTGACAATAAAAGTTATTTAACTGCAAACATATAGCTCATAGATTAGCAAAGGCTGTAGGAGATTACTGGAACAATTTGTTTACCTAAGTACTGTACATAAAGATATACGTAGTTGTTTGACTCTCTAAAACTTTGGTCCCAATTCGGTCCGGTGATAATCATTGCTAGAACAAATTATCATTTCTCGGATTATACACATTTTCACGGCGTAACTTGTCCATATTTATATATTCTAAGTTAATATTGGGCTGATGGTCCAAGTCTTCCTTGGTACACAAGAAAAAAGTTTACGGTTTAACAATAAGAATTAGTCTCTTGTCTCTACAATTTACTTTAAACCAAAACCTTTTGAAACAATTCACAAAAATTTAAACTGAAAATATCTTTTCCCCGTATTCTAATTTCAACACATGATATAGGTAGGATAAAATAAAGCGCTATTATTTTTCGCGTTCGCGGGTTTTTCTTTTGATATGGCGGTCGTGCGGTTATAATGTGGGACCGTCACTGCTCCGCCTCCCGCGGCATAAACAGCAACAGTGCAGACTCGACCGGCAGCGTTACTACACGTTTCCGTCCCACAAAACGAACAATCGCAGTTATTTAATATTAATTTATTTTACCAAAGTGACAGATTAAAAAAGTGTCATTTAAAATCAATTTTAAAGGAAGAAGGAGGAATAACTTGGACATGTATGAAGTTTACAAGTAACTGGTAAGTTAGAATTGTTTTTTCTTTTTAAAATATTTATTATTCCTAACCTCCTTACCGGTAAATTTCATAAATAGTTAAGGATTTATTAAACAACTAATATGCTATTTATGTAGTTTGTGTCTTTTTATAGTTTGTGTTTGTGATTAAGTATTTAGATTTTTATTATTATTTTTAATAATCAATAATTGTTTTTTTGTAAGTAAGGAAAAGATTTGCTTGCAATTTTATGTTTACTCATAATTGAGATTTCTTTTGTCAGTACAATTTGTTTCGTGTTTTTATACATTTTAATATGATTTAAGCCTATTATTTAAATTAAATAAACATTTTGTCTTCTCTTAATAGTTTTAAATTACTTTTAATTTAATTTAATTTTCAAGTATAATTTTGTAGTCAAAAGTACGGTCCGTCTCTTGACTCTTTCAAAATGTTTTCATATATTTTCTTTAGATCTTCAATTAATTTTAATTCAATAAAGCGCGTCTTTAAGTGTACTTAATTATTTATTAACGAAATTTTAAAAACGTTCTTAATGTTTATTGAGTTTAAGCTTTTTTTAAGAAAAGAAAACTGAAGCGTTGGTAATCCATTGCTAATCCAAGCAGGATTACCTAGTCCCAAATCTTAAATCTAGTTATAAAACAGCTATTATCACAAACGAAAGCGGAAGTCAAATGCGGGGAAATTGACTTTGTTCGCTTCCATAAAAATTAAACATTATTTTTATTGTATATAGTTTTTAAAGATTTTATTTAAAATAAAGTAATTAGTGTTCTTATTTTTGGATAAATAAAAATAGAAACTTCCATTAGTCTTTTTTACCCTTCTTTTTTTTTGATTGAAGGGAAATACAATTTTGGTAATTGCATGAACGTTTTCATTAATTAAAGTCGCTATTAATTCTACAGTGATATTTTTTTGATTTTGGCATTTAACACATGACAAAAACTATATAATAAAATAACGGTAAGTATTATTTTGAGACTACAAAATTACTTGTAACTCATTATAAAACCTCTTTCCCACTAGTAACTGGACAGTGTCGCGGCTATCCGCTGAGTCGTGTTGAATAACAAATATTTTTGGCTAATAATAAAAAGTAGGCTCCCATGTCATCATAGTTTTCATAGCTATCAAAAATTCATTAATTAAGGTTTCATTTCGACTCACCTCATACTTGGTAATGGCCGTATTTTTGCCAAATTAATCCAATCCATTGTTCTGTCCGCCATAACCTACTTTCATTATCATGAGCTACTATGGATGTAGAGCTGATATGGATAGTTAATACAATGTTTACTTTTGTATTAACTTTTTATCATAGATATATTAGTAAACTGTGACGTCTTTTTTAAATCTTTGAGTTATAATCAAACTAATATTATAAATGCGAATATTTGGATAGATGGTTGGATGTTTGTTTGAAGGTATCTCCGGAACGGCTTAACAGATCGAATGAAATTTATATATAGATGTAGAACATAGCCTAGAAGAACACATACGCTACTAATTAAGCTATTTTTAATTCCGCGCGGACGAAGTCCAGGGCGACAGCTAGTTAAAAATATGAAGTGACTGATTTTCTCTTTTTAAAAAAGCTCGTTAATTAGTCGGGATATCTCGGTACATAGGAAGTAATGATTTTATAAGCGCAATTAATTAATTTGTGTGTCGTTCTTCAAAATATACATTTTATTTATAAAACACTACTACCGTGGATTCGATTCTACGTAAAAGTTTAATCCGCGAAATGATTGAATTTCTATAAATGCATATTTCCAATGTTACAATGAAAATTTTGCGCATTTTAATTTTAATCTTACTAAGATAAAATATGAATGTTTGGATTTATGGATGGATGGATAAATAGATATTTGTTATAAGGTATCTTCAGAACGAAATTTGGCATATATGTAGAACATAGTCTGGAACCATAGGCTACTATTTAAGTTTCTTTTTAATTCCGCGCGGACGGAGTCACTGGTGACGTCCAGTTCAGTATAAATTTAATTTTCCTTTTATTTTATCAATGTTTTTATGAAATCTGGTAACATTACCACGCTTATGAGGGCAAATGATTGCTTATCATTGTCATAGCAATATCATAGTTACCTACAAAATAAGCCGACCATATAAGTACTAGGGATTATACGACGCGATACCATGATCGATGGCTGTTAGGAAAATAATATTAGCCTTTGAAAAGATTTTTCCGTGAAGTGAGTTTATTGCATTTCATCCATATAGACATGTACAGATTTAAGCAGAACGATTTTATATATTGAAGATACAGAGTTCGACAGAGTAAATCGATGTTCAGTTGACGATGAACATTCGCAATAAGCAAATGAGTTGCAAATGCCTCTATTGGTCATTATTGTAATATCATCCTGTATCTACTGTTAGATATTTATTTCTTCTTTGTTACACTTTTAATGGACATATTATAATAATACAAAATCAACAATTATTAAATAATCTTATATAAAAAATTATCGTGTCACAGTATTAGTTATCATACTCCTCCATAACAGCTTGACCGATTTTTATGAAATTGGTCTGAGAGTCGGCTACTATATTTTAATCCCGCACAGACGGAGTAGCAGGTGATAGTTAGTCATTCTGTAAAAAGATTTTCTCTGAGAAATTACTGCACCAGGGAAAAGAAAGATGGTGTATTATAATAAGTCTTTGTCGCGGTCCGTGCCTGGAGCCATGCCCGTTTCATTCAGTACCATTTGAAGTCGAAATAAAATGTTATTCTTTAATAAAATGTTATCTTTTGTATTTGACATTAATGTAAAAGACCTTCATTAAAATTATATAACTTTATTCTATTATCTCGTTGTTCTATGTGAAATAAATCTACGTTAAAACAAATTAATTGTCATAGTTAAATTCAAAAGGCTAGATCCAGTAGCCGTTTTCATACTTTTACGACCCATGCGAAATCATCATCATCAGCTATATGTTCCCACCGAGGGGCTCGGAGCCTATCCTAAGGTAGGGGTGAGTTAAATCTTTTATAGGGGGTAATTTTATTTATTTAATTTCAAACTGACAAATTCATCAAACTCGGGTTAACGCTCACTTATAATCATCCATTCATTCATAATTTGAAATTTGATTGATTGCCTTGGGTCGATGATCTGTAATTGTATTTGTTAGTAATATTTTCTTCATAAAATAATTTCTTGGAGTGACATGTTAAGATGCTATAAGCCCGCATTCGCACGAGCGCTTTTTTCGCTGCGTTAAAACTAGGCGCTAGCGGCTCTCAAGCGATGAACGCTTTAAAAATACTGTTGTTTCCTTCACACAGTGCGCAAAATGCGTTGCGCGATGACAAAGTGTCGTGTTTTAAAAACGTTGCTGTATGAAAAGTTATTTTGTAAGTGACTATCCATTGTTTACTTTGGAGAGACATAATAGTTTTTGAGGCATTCACAGTTTATTCTATTATATTTGAACGCGTTTAAACGCAGCGTAAAAAAGCGCCCGTATGGACGCGGGCTAAACTTGCAAGATTGTCTGTCGTGGGTGTCTCATTTTGCGTCAAAGAATAAATATATGAAGACGTGGTTCTCCGTTGATTAATCCCTTTCTATTTGCAAACATTCTGATAACAACAACTAATATAAACGGTGACTTATCACACAAAGAAATGAATGTGCTATTCTGAGATACGGGTCAAGGCAAAATTAAATTCTAGAAGTAATGGAGAACAAATTCTAATCTGTAATCAATAATAAGCCAAGGTATTATATTAAGATTATTTTATTCGATATTTATTATTAATAAATTTAAAATTGAATGATAGACGATAAAAATAGTTTAACATATTTTTACCGCTCCAAAAAAAACACTATTAATCGAAAACTTCCTTAAGCCTAGAATTATTTCAAGTATGTTTTGTGCGTAGATGGCTACTTAATAATCAATTAATCAATATTATGATAATAATTTTTTTGTACAAGCCATGTGACCATTGCCTTGAGGAGGCAGAGTTAAACTTATTAGTAAATCGTCTACGTCAAACATTTTCCATTAGGTTTTATAAACAAAAAAAAATCCTACGCACAAATATAAGCAATTACTTAGAGGATAAATATACGTGTTAAAAGCCAATAATATCAACATCTTGGTAGCACGACGTCTGATGTTGTAATATATGAATATTTAATTAATTCATTTGGTAACATTTAATTTGGGCCCGCGTTTAAATTACCCATAAGTTAAGTGGCTCACCACACGGCTTCGTGAGCATTCAAATAATTACTTTTAATTATCGAAATTATACGTAAATATTTATCTTTGTTTTGCTATTGCAATTGCTACTAAAAGTAATACGATATCATAATATAATTTTTACATTTTTGGTTTAAATATATTTAAATTTTACGAGATAATTTAGCACATGGTAACAAATGAAACATTATTTCAATGTTTAAATGAATAACGCTTAATGTAACACAATAGGTGGCGTTGTAATATAGTTTGTAGGAAAACTCAATAACGTTTACGACATTGTTTCCCATTGTATTATTACACACCTGTGTTGATATATAGTTTCCAGATTGAATATCAAAATATCTAATCACTTATTATGAAAATTTAAAGCTAGTCCAAACGATAGTTAAAAATTTAATTACACCCTCTTTTCTCCATCTTATTCATTAGTAAGAAGTCAGCTCAAATGTCATAGCTAAGTAAAGAGTCAGTTAACATTAGTTTAACTTTTCTTCGTCCAAAATAAATACGTCTTTAATGACTGCTGCATTATATATATTTCTAAGAAGTTTCGCAATGCAGCTCCGCATCAAAATACAAGTCGTCTGTTTTGTATCTAAGTCCATCTCTCACTTTTACTAAGCCGCATCCATTAATTATCCACTAGACGTTTCGACAAAGAAAAAGTTTTCGCCGTCAGTCAACTATTATCGGACTTTGTATATTTATTTTGTAAAGTACGAACGAGTTTGCTGTTAAATCATTCGAGTTTACTGACGTCGATTGGAGAACATTTTGAATAGTTCGTATGGTTGTTACTAAGTGGTAAACTACACATAAAAGTATTTATTTTTTATTTATATTCACATTAAAGAGTGATATAGGTCTATATAACACTCGGTACAACATAAATATTCATCTTTTGGCCAGCAATCGTTTTTAAAACAATAAGCATTGTTTTAAAACGTATGTGTTATGTCTAACAATATTATATAATCATAGAAATTATTCTAATTACTCCAAATTTTATTGCTATTATTACGTGAATTATTATAGGGATCTAAATAATAATTAATACTATTGTAAATCGGAAAAAAGGAATAGAAAGTCCTATATCGTTACCACCGCGGCACAGGACCGGGCATTGCGGCAATCGATGGGGGAGGCCTACGTTTAGTAGTGGACGAATCGGGGCTGAATATGATGACGATGATGATGATATCGTTACCATCATCGCAAGAAAACATTTAAAAAATTTATAAAAATATTTGGTAGTTACTCCTTCAAATTCAAAGCGGTTTGCTCTTTCAAAGTTCGTACAAAGGCCTGTGTAACAAAAAGCCAAAAGGGCGAAAAAGTTTATGATTGAAAAACTTATAACTTTGAAGTTGTTATCAAGTGCCAGAAGGTAAGATAAATTGTCTAATTTCTTATTGAACACAAGATACATATTGACATTAAGTAATTGATAAACTTAGCTTGTCCTTGAAGTAGAGCTTCAATATACAATAAGTGTTTCGTTTCGCTTTTTTTCAATCTTATAGAGTATTTGGGGACAGCGAATTATTTTGTTATTAATGTTATTGTTAACAACTCTTTTGCCGAGACTACCATTCGCTTTGTGCATGCCTTTAGCGTTTCATAAAGGGTAAACGATATTAAAAAATTTCTATATTGTTTGTGGTAAACAATAAATGTTTGAAATAGTGCAGATCGTTGAATTAAATGTAGATATTAAAAGATATTCCAACAACTTTGAGAATTGTTTAGAAAATTAATATATTTTAATGTTAAAAAAAAACTAAAAGTATTATAATAATAAAGATTTGGAGTATACAACCAATGAGGTAATGGCCTTATTATGAAAATATTTTTCTCTTAAAAAAATAGAATTATTTTTTTCTGAATGATATAAAAGGGACTTTCTTCAAGCCATTAACTCTACAAAATCAGTTTAGTAGAGAATATGAACACAAAGACTGGCGGCATGTAATTGAACGTGAAATAAATTACATTTCTTTAATCTACTGTGAAGATAAACATTTTTGTGTTCGAGACATCTCATAATAGTACCAAGGTCTAAAACAAAACAATGACGGCGTTTATGTACCTACAAACATAAAGGCGTTGCTCAAACAACTGTCATGTTAGTTTCGCATTACGGTTATTAAAAGAAAAAAAAACATTTTTTGTCTAAGGGAAGAAGGAAATTGGTATAAGGTTACAATTTTTTATCATTAACCGTTGGTTTCTTAGACCAAAGTATCTGTATTAAGCATATCGTCATCCACGTCATTACTATTACTAACAGTGTATTATAAACGGGGACTTTGGTCTCGGAAATCCACGATAAGGGAATTAATTGAATGTTAAATGTTTCAAATGAAAGCAATGACATAAAGTAATATGACATACATACGCTAAAGCACTGAGCTATTTAATATACAAGTAAAAACCATAACACAATTTTTTAAATCGTAGAAGATCAAAGCTCAGTCAGCCGGCTAACGATTCGTTTCGATGAGGCGGCTTACTATTCCAAAAATAAAAATGTGAAATATAGTCGACAAACAAGCACTGTGTAGCTTTCCATGTTCTAAAAGAATTCAAAAAAACATAGTAGCTGTGTATATCAAAACTATCTATACGTGGCGATGCGCACTATTAAAAATACGAATAATTTTTAATAATAATTTGACTTTTCTGTATGCCTTCAAGGTTCTTGATTAGCAACCACAATAAACGTAGAAGCGTAGGTTGTCCTCCCATAAAACAAACCTATGGCTTGAAATAATTTACAGAATTTGCGAAGAATAACAATCTCATATGGCAAATATTGGTCTAAAAATTATGACCATTTCTTTAAGGCCGATTTTAGCCTTTAAGCGACTTACGCAATATACAAATCTACCTGTTTAAGATCGTTGCGAAAAACACGTCGCGATTTTAATATAGCGGAGCATATATAGTTCACATTTTGTATTATACATTCGTCTCAGCTCAGTCACTATGCCTGTACTGATCGAATAGACGACTCGCGTCGACGATTCAATGTTGTGCGTGCAGAGCGCGCGGTACGCGATACCCACAACGAAAGGATCGGACAAGAGTATTTGCGATTTGTGTAGCTTTATGTACGAAAGGCTTAGTAAATGGACGATGGCTGAAGAATACAATTACATGTATACATGTAGTCTTCTTAAAAGTAAATACCGCAGGGACCTTTTTTAGTACAAAGGGCTGTCGCAATATAGAAAAAAGGTTTCACAGTTGACACTAATTCAAAATGTGAGGAGAATGTAAAGGTTGACTTGTGAAATAAACTCGATCAATACTTTTACACCATTGAGGATTTTTGTGTACAATATTTTAAACATTTTTTTTTTAAATTTCTTAATTACTGCACTGTTATGTATCAAGTGACGTTAATTTATTTAATTTATGTAATTATTTATTAAAATTGGTTTCATAAGATTTGTGTTTTTTGTGAGTAATGATCCTTTGTCACGTGCCTTATTTACTTGCTTAATGAATTCAAAGCTGTTGAGATTTAATTATTCCGTGACACTGATGCCGACGGAGGACAAACTCTGACCGTGGCTGCCGCAGATAAGACTAGTTATTTGCAACTCATCAGGCAAGTGAGAAACTGATAGTAGAAGTATATTATCATTGCATACAATGCATATTAATTTAAACATTTACACAGTATTATAGACTATTTTATGCATTAAAGGTTATTTTGGAATACTTTAAGTCTTATAATCATCACCAAGGTTATTGAGGAGGATAAGCAACTACTTTCTGCAATAACGTAACCTCAACAAAGTTTTATGATATGCAAAGATGGTACATACTTAAGGCGATAAATTGGAAGGCCTCACATCTCCGATATGTTTAAAACTCACTGACTAGCGTTTCCATTAAAAACGGCTTACGTTCATACAATTTCTATTTCGAAGAAAAATGTCTATTCGTTATAGTATAAGGATCTTACTTTTCATTTGAGTTTATTTACCCTTAAAAACATATCACGCACCTTCATTTGTACTTATTTATTTAAAAAAAAAAAACTTCAATTCCGAAATTGTTTGGCACTGTTCTTTAAAACTCTGTGGCAGATAAAAATGTGTACAATGATCTTATTGAATTCACTTAACATTTCTTTGTTACAGGTAGCAGATATGACGTGGACCGAAGCAATGTTCAACGTTAGAAACTGAAAATGGATATGACATTCACACCCTGTCCATGACGAGATGTGAGATCTGGCGCGCGCCAATATGGCTAACGCGACCGACGCTTTCTGTGTGCCCGGCGCCACGGAATTCAATAAAGCTTACAGCCGATTGCACGGATACATCGCTATTGTGATATGTATCATAGGATCAGCCACGAACTCTATAAACATCGCAGTGCTGAGTCGCAGGGAAATGATAAGTTCCACGAACTCCATACTGACGGGCCTCGCAGTCGCCGACCTCCTTGTGATGCTTGAGTATATACCATACGCTCTACACATGAATATTAAAATCGGCCCCGAAGTAAATAAGAACACATACGCTTGGACTGTCTTCGTCTACTTCCATTCCATATTTAGTCAAACATTTCATACTATATCGATCTGGTTGGCTGTGACGCTTGCAGTATGGCGGTACATCGCCATCGCTTTTCCTCAGAAGAACAGGACGTGGTGCAGCAAACAAAACACCACAATTGCCATCGTTAGCGCTTACGTGATATGTCCCTTCCTTTGTCTTCCAATTTATTTTGCAATGAATATATCCCAGAATGAAGTGACGCCTCAGAACAACTCCCAGTTTGCCGAAGACTTATCATTGCCACATAATAGAACTGTGTACGTGTTAGAAATGTCAAAGAACAAGGAATTAGTTACCGCAATAATGTGGATATACAGTGTTATATTAAAACTAGTCCCGAGCATAGCTTTATCTATATTAAGTACGTGCTTAATTTCTAAATTAACTACCACAGAGAGAAGAAGACAGAAGCTTCTTAAGAGATCGATAGTTGGGCCAAATGATGTAAGTGTTGATTATTTTTTAACCCTAACTAAGAAACACATTACTATTTTACAACTAAAACCAAAGAATATAAAATATAAACCTAGTATATGTATTGTTTACTTTCTTATCATCTGTGATACCATAGTTATTTGTATTGTTATTGTTTGTCTCACATACTTTAAGAAAATTGCTAGTGTCGTATTAATGTCAAACGTACCAATTTCGTTAAATATCGGTGTTGTTAATTTAACACGTTGAGCGCGACGCGTATTTCTAAGACAATCCAGTTCAGGCCACGAGCGCCGCTTATACGCACTGGTATTAAAGGGCCGATGTTTCCGATCGCAGTACAAAATAGTTTACATTTTTAACGTTATACCTATAGGCTTTGTTTCAACACGTTACGCGCCAAGTATGTTTTTTTTTCTTACCGCTTAGCCCGCTCAGATAAAATTTCTTCGAAATGGATTCGTGGCCGTTATTCTTTTTGCGACAAATCAGTACATTACAGTTCAAATATCACTGAGCGTCAAACATCCTAAACAGAAAATCTAGTGTCAGCCACCGATGGCTGACATGGCGCTCAACGTGTTGAGCGTGGATCCCCATAAATGCTCATTCATCCTGTACAATTTTAAGGATTTCAACATCCCTTCTAAAAGTATAGCTATAATCCACTGTTATATGTTTTGTCAGTGATGTAACCCTCGTGAAAGATACTCTACTGACCTTGACCCCAATTATTTTCACGAAATGAGTCTTATTCCCAATCTTGCTAAGCTTTTAATGATCATGCCAGACTGAATCGTACCAACTGTCGATAAGAATCATCTGTACGCTCTGTTTGGCACACGACTCGATATCTATAGGTATTTACGTAAGTGTACTGTCTATTTTGTTTCATTTAGATTTTTTCTTTATTCTTAATTCTTTTTTATCACCGTAATAGACGTAACGGAATTTTTAATAACTTTATTGTTATTGTGTGTTCTTTGTTTATCGTGTATGTTTGATACACGCATTGACCGAACCTCTTCCACGTTCTTTTGATTTTATAAAATCATTCAGATCGATAAGATTAATTATTAAACTATACGGTTGGCTGTACCATTACGTTCGAGAAAAACAAAAAAACGTCTGTCTGATCAGCTTGTACATTATAATTGTTTTTTAGAGTGAGAAGCAGTGCTTGGCAGAGGATCCAAGCGCAGCGCGGCGCTCCAGTCGCACGGACCGCACGACGCGTATGCTGCTAGCTGTACTGGGTCTGTTCCTCTCCACTGAGGTCCCTCAAGGTCTCCTGGGACTCGCCAGCGCCCTCGCACCAGATTTCTTCAAAAGCTGCTATAGTATGTTTGGTAAGTATTTTTATAGAAGGTGGCGAATGCGCAAATATGCAGTCATAATAAAGCTGCGTGAACAGAGCCCATAGCATTTGCAATTCATTCAATTTCAACATTTGCAATAGCTTAAAAGGTCGCAGTTGCGTTGTCGTTCTTTAATTATAGAGGAGAGAATGTTCATAAAAAATAACAGATACCGTTTATTTATTGTTTATGCTAATCAATTCTTTGAAAATCCATTGTGTTCGAAATCAAGTAGAATATGTTTTGACATTTTAACAAACAAAGGTATTCAAACGTCAATGGTAGTTTAAGTTTTGTGGGAAAAAATAAAATTTTAATATCTGTGTACATTATTATTATAAACAGATGTTTTTAGGGTTCCGTAACCCATAGGAAAAAAACTACTTATAAAAAAGGCTATAATTTGATAATAACCTGGAAAGAATTTCTGACAAAAATATATCCGTACAAAGTACAAAAAATTGGAAAGGTTTCTTTATTACATTCGACAATGTTAATGCACTCACTCGTAACAAAATTTAAATAGCACTGAGCGAGAACATTAAACGATGTGGACACGTTTTATTGCAAAAGTTACAACACATATAGTGCAGTAAATGCACTCAGAGAAGAGGTTTTAGTTGTTTCAATTTTATAACACTACACTTACACTGAAACAATAGCTAAACGAGCTTAGTGTGGATTTCGACTGCAGTGCACTAAAATTGTCATATTTTGTCATCCCTCACATGCTCTAAAAAAAAGGAGACAATAATATGCGTCACTGCAAATGTCTTGAGAGTAGGAACCGACAGGTAGACCCTTCGTTCCCAAGGGAACGTATATATCTTCGAACTAATATGGTATCCTTGTGTTGCGAGAATCCTGTTTTGCACGCTCCCTATATCGTTGACGACAGTCGTCTATTAGAACAGTACAGGCATGGCATAGTCAAATGTATGGAATCGGTCCGCCATTTCAAAATCGCAGGGACTTTTTTCAGATCTTGACAGATTATGAGCGCTTAGTTTTGGCGAATTGACTGAAATTGACTGACTTGAATTCGTGTTGTGTAAGTCGCTTAAACACTAAGATTGCAGAGTTTTGAAGATTTACGTTGGCTTGTGTACAAAGGGCTCTACATGTTCTGTTCGTACACTAATTATCAAGAAAGTATAAAATAAATTAGTATAGTATGAATATTATAGACCATAGAACGTTGGACTATTATTAATACTAAGAAAGTTTCTTTTTAACGGACCGTTTTTTCCTCTTCGCATAAACTACAAGTACTTTCTTTCACATAAAGCTACCAAAATATATCGCAGTATTTTTCGTTTCTATAAAAGCTTTCAGAAAAAAGTTGCTTTCAGGATATTAAATCCTTTATAAAGGCTGCCGGCATCACAGAAATAAGAAAATATAGCTTAAACTGGTACATAAAAGTTGTAAATATTACATCAACTCGTTAATTAACGATGCTCCAGTTGTAGAGTTCCAGTACACGTTTATTTCGAGAAGGAAATATAAGACTGATAATAATGTAACATGTAAGCAAAGCTAATTTACACACGATTTTTTTAATGCTTAATTAAGTGCATTAACTAACTAAAACTGAGACAACCATGAAAACAACACGAAGGAAGAATATAACTAAATACAATACTCATTGGATTCGTAAAAAAAATTATATGTATCTGATTTTATATGAGACGATAAGAATTTTATTCTCTGAAAATTGTTTCAGTTTATCAGAATAAGATTCACGGTGACCTTGTATCAACCTTGTAGTCGGAAAGCAACTAATGTTGACTAACTCTTTAAATCCCTCGCTGTTTGCATTATTAATGACGTAGAAATGCGAAAGATATCGTAAGACAATGAAAACACATTATTTGTCTAGACGTCCGATATTATAAATGGAATATCTTAATCAAATTCTGTATTCTAGTCTACAGTGACAACGATATTCATTTTAAAACTTATCTCGTGTTCTTAACCACAATAGGATTAGAATAATATCGGAGGATAATAAAGGGGATTAATATTCTAGTTAAATTTGAAACCAATGCATAGGAAATCAGAGCATGCCAATAATCGGTTGGTTGTTTGTAATAGGAATCGTGGTTTAGTGCAATCTGTGAGTAGCGGAGCGAGATAGCCGGCACATGTACGATTGAGCAAAGTTGATCGTTGAAATGCCGTGACATTGCAGAAGACAAGCGTGAAATATAAGAATATCCGTCTTTTCCGGGTGAAGTGACGGAGGCCTAATTTAATATTTCTAACCTGTCGTATTAGTTACGTTTAATTTTCGTAAAGGCAATGAATACTAAAAAACGTTTCTGAAATCTTTCTATCGATAGATACATTCAGACTGAGGTATTGCTGGTCGTGGGCCTCCCCTATTGATGACCACGATAACTGTTCCGTATCACATTTATCTATTGCATATTATTTATTGCAAATTCCTGTAGATGGCAGTGACCAATATCTGGAAAATCACTTTTTTTTGATAACTTCAAAATTGTCCATAGGAAACAGATAAAGTTATACAAAACATTTTTATAACTTTGTTTTCGGACAAATAGCAGTATTATGATATACATTAAATGTTAATTATGAGACGCCTACGGAAGTGGGTCGCTCATCCGATCAATTACGGCACATAGGTCCCACGCCTCAGTAAAGACGGGAAAGAGTATATAACGCCCAAACATAGTACAGAAGCGCGTGTAACGAATCCGTGATATAAATATATGTGATCGTGACACCTAATTAGTATCTTCTAAGAATTTTTTTTGTCTAAGTAATATTATTATGGAGAAAATATAACGAACACACTCGTATATAAACGTAAATCTGAATAGAATATGTAACAGGAAAAAACAAAGGAACATTATAATACGGCCAGTTTTCATCAACATCGACAACACCTAAGGAATAACAATTGAACTGTTCTTGTAAAGGAAAAAAAAGGACAAAAAAAATTGTTTATTATACAAGTTAATATCAAAGAAAATCTTTGAGGTTAATTTTATACCCGCATTTTCATAGGAATAAGTAACTATTACATGATGCTTTTAGATAATTTATCGTGAACAATAAATTTTATATTTATTTTGATTTTCCATATGAGTAGTACTGAATTTTATAACAATACGTATAATTTTTCTACATGATGTGTCCAATACAAAAATAACAGCGAAACCCAGTTCATATTTTTATAACAAGACCCAATATGAATTTCAAAATAACTCAAGGCTTTCGTAACAATAAGCAATAAATGGAGACCATTACAGATAAATACATTTATGCGATTTATAGTCACAATATAGGTAATGATATTCCATTGAATATATTTATATATTTCTAGCAAAATTCCGACACATTTGTGTTTAACAAACACAAATAAGTAAAGTCTCGCAAACACAGTAAGTTATGATTTAATTGATTGATTAAGTTATACTAAAATAATGTTAGTATTATACTAAAATAGTGTAGTATTATTGTGTTGTTTCGGGGTTTCAATTTACTTACAATTAGTATATAATACGTGTTTCAAATATCATAAAGTACGGAATCATTAAATGTTTTTATTTCCAAGAAGTAGGCAGCTCGGGCGATGCTTTCGTCTATAAATAAAGCGCAATTAATTAATGTTTGCAAGACAGGTAACTACAGTGTTTTTGCCAACATCAAATATACAAAGTAATTTTTTAATCATTAATATTCATAATGGTATAAACGAATCTGAAATTAGCTAACAGGAAATTGTCCATTAGTCAAAGTAATGCAAAATCATTTTTCATTAAACTAAAAGCAAAAGGTTCAAGAAGCGTTTGAACTAATCTTAATATTAACAGATTCGCAATTGAAAATCCATTCTTTTCTCGTGAAATATGATTAAAAAGAAAGTAGATGAATGGTTAAACAATTATTTTAATTGATTATTTTTCACTAAGGAAAATATTGGCAGTCAATCGTCGATAGTGTAGTAGCCACTTAGTACACATTTAAATCCTCGTATCTTCTATTTTTCTTTGTATCCTCTATAAAATTTACTAGAGAAGCGTATAGAAATTATTTGAGAAAGAAGGAGAGAGACAAGTTGGTGCAAATTTAACTCCCACTGCTGCAGTAGAATTATTTTATTTCCACCATACCATTCCAATTAAACTCTAGGCTTACTTTATCAGGTGACCTTATGGACGTGCTGGCACTGTTCACGTCTTCAGTAAACTTCGTGTTGTACTGCAGTATGAGTCGTCAGTTCCGATGTACGTTCGCTCGACTCGCGCGTCGCATGCTCTCCGCGCCCGAGGAACCACCTAAATCATCCAACAAACACGAGCCCACCACACAGGTAAATCACAATACGATGCCGCTATCATTGTGAAATACAACAAACATTCTTTATCAACAATTTATCTAAATTCCTACCTATAAAAACAGGGCTGATGTACACGGACTACTTTAAGTTGTTATTATTGGCAGTTTTAAGCAATCGACGTGTTGCCGACTAAAATGCCGACAGCATCCTTATTGCTTGAAGCTGCCACTACCGACTTCTATAAGTTGCCTGTGTATGGATACCTTTATGTGATTCCTATATCGGTTTGTTTGGCAATCAATTGTAGAAGTTTATTATTTTGTATAATGTTTGTTGTGTCGAAGTCAAAGTGAAATATTTCTATTCCCTAGGTCACAGGGCCACTTTAGCGACAGATGCCCGCCCTTATTAGGGTGGTGGAGGAGAGCGTTATTTAGTGTCAAGGTAATTTATTATTGTATTAACGGAAAATAGAAAAATTAGCAAACTCTCGCTGGTAACAAATTCCTTAGACTTTTAAATGTTACAAGTTTTAAGAATAAATGCTAATTTTAGCACGTTTGAGAAGGCGTTTGAAAATTATCACATGTTTATAACATAAATTTTTTGAACGCCACATATTCAGGGTTTTGATATTTATTTAATCCTCAAAACTTTCTGTAGTTAAACGAATCAAAAGCCGAATATCTTTGTACATTTATGTAAATTAGATTGTAAGAATAGTGTTTTTGAGGGCTAACTCAATTCATTTTTAATTTTCTTTTTCAGATTTACAATCAGCGAAAACAAGAAATATATCTTAAAATTTCGGTTAGGTAGTCAAACAAAATTGTACATACCTTGACACTGTAAATAACTATAAAGGACTTTAGACTATATTATTAAATTTAAAGTTAATAATTGTACGTTTTATCTTATTATTATATTTTGTAATCATCGAATTAATATAAAAATAAAATATCTATTAATCTGTACATATAAATTATTTTTTGTGATTGTAATAATTGTATATTGTAAATATTGTACATATGTAAATAAGATATACTATGTATAACATATAGTATATACTTGTAACCCTTAACGATTTATAGTCATTGTTAGTAACCGCTAGCTTTCGCGTCCAATGAGCCAAGACGCGAAAACTAGACGTTGCGTTTTGTAAATTTTGTACTAATGAATCAATCTCTAAGTTATATCTTAGGGTCCAAAAGTCTTATAACTATAGCACTAGACCTATACCTATACCTAGACTAGTACTTTATAAATAATTAATTTTTATCGTTATGTAATGTTTAATTAATCACATTTTCTACTATTATTAATTTAATTATCTGTAACAAAGTCAATTGAATTATTATTGACTGAATTATTAGTAATTATATAAATGTTTGTTTTATTTCTATCCCAATAATTAAGTGTTAAAATTAAAGTAAAGACTTAACTCTAAAACATTTATTTGCATATATGTACAATGTGTTACAATTTTACATAAATGTCATGACTAAAGGTATTTTTCGGGCTTCATTTTATAACCGTATTAATTCTAAGAAGAAAGATTAAAAGTAAAGAGAATTATTCGTCGTAACTCCATTTAGCATAAAGCTTACTTAGATTAACCTTTTATGTTATTCTCGACTCTGTATTCCACTAAAAAGCTAATGCGTGGTAACTGACTGCTGCCTTAACTTAAGTCTCATTGCAAAGAGAAAATTAAACTTATGTACTTATGGTTTATCATAGTTATTTTTACCTAGAGTTTATGTAAAAATAAATATTTATAGCACACTAACTATCGCCGGCGACTCCGTCCGCGTGGAAAAAAACATAATAGCCTATGTGTCCTTCCAGACTATATTCTACGTCTATGCCAAATTTCAGCAGGATCCGTTCAGCCGTTCTGGAGATACCTTCAAACAAACATCCATCCATCCGTATTTGCATTTGACATTAATTAATTTGAGTCACCACTAATATGAGCGCTTTTATTTCATTTGAATTATTCAATATTCGCGGTCGCATGTAAAATGAGTTTAGTTGTTTATTTAATATTCGCTAATAGCATTTCTCATACTCGTGTTATCTACAAGCTAAAGCCTTGAATACATTTGGAATGTTCATCTTCGAGTAAATATTTTTTTCGTTCCATTAAAATTCGTACGCACAATCAAAAAATAGAACTAGAGTGATGTTTTTTAGATAACTATTTCGATATACGTCTTTATATTTGAAGCACCGAAATACTATTCCAGAATGTTTTGAATTTTTCATATATCAGAGTGAAAAATTTGTATAAACATAATGGTATAATAATTTCTTTAAAAAAAATAAACGCGATAAATTTAATACATTGCGATACAGTTTTTATTAAACCAATAGAGTAAGTAATGTTAGGAAAAAAACCGGACACTGTGCCGTTGTACTGGCGCAACACTAGCCTTACTAAAATGTTGACGTTTATGTCCCCTCACTAATAATTCGAACACTTGCTTCGTAATGAAAGCGCGCAATTCGCGCCAAATGATTCTAACTAATAATGTCCAAAGTACATAAGAAGTTTTTCTTCTAACGGAATAAACACATTAAATCAATGCTAAGTATTGATTTTTTGAAATCTTTTTTTTATTTAATTTAAGTGTGTCATGCCACGATATAATTTTAAGGTCAGCGTGATAGTGATACAGAGCTCGTTGGGAAAGCTGCGGGCTATGTATTTTGTAATTCAAAGACAAATAAGTACGCGCAAATACAATGTGTTACACAACACGCTGTGTGACTAAAATTACTTTAGTAAGTGCTATGACAAAATTAGAATTTTAAATTAAGAGTTGTTGTTTGTTTCAACTAAGCCAAATTGAGATTATTCCAGTTACGTTGGAATTTCATTTTTAAAAATTATAAGATATTATAAAGTTACGAAATTAATACACGATCTACAATTATATTCAAAAATAGTATTACAGCAACAACTCAAATTACAAATAAGATAACAATACATTATAGAATTTTACTTGGAAACTTTGTATATAGAGTAATAGAAACCAGAATGTAGTAAATAATTTGCGCGTGGTTATGTTAAGTACTTGTTTAGAGAGAAATCGAGCGATTTTTAAAAGAAATATTTCGAAGTAGGAATCAAACATTCCTTCAACAGTACTTGAAAAGGTCTGAGCCCGAAACCTCTCCAGTGTCATCGTTGCTGTGAATTCACAATGTGGCTGCCATCGAGTGGAGGGTAGCACGACATAATTATAATGGTATAAATAAGTTGCCAAGCTTAAGAACTTTAGATTTATCTTGAAATGAAACTCAAATTAAAATTTTGCAATCCAGATTTTTTCATTCTACGTACGTGTATCCATATAACTTTATTCAAACTAATTTAGTGTAAATAAAAGAAGTAGATTTTTTTTTATTTCATAAGGCGGCAAACGAGCGAGCGGCTACCTGAAATCGCTGAAATAGCGAAGTGACCGTTGCCCATAGACATACGCAATTGCATATGCGTTGCCTACCTTTAATCGACGGAAGAAAATATTTTCCCTAGAAATTGAGTATTGATAAAACTTCAAGGGTGTATATAAATTGGAAAAATTGCTCTGCGTGATTGGGAAAAAATTGCCAATAGCAGTAAACAAAATAGGTTGCCATAGTAACGATAATTGTTAGCCAATGGCAGAGGACTTTGGTGACATTTGAATATTTGCAGTTTGACATTTTCAATTTAAAGTTTTACGTGATGTAAACTATAAAATAAAGTTTTTCAGTGTAACAAAAATGAGTAAAAACAGTTAGAAAATATCAAAGAAAAATAGTTCAAAAGTGTCAATCGTTATTGTTTCATGTAGTGCAAATATTGTATACGCTGAAATTTCATAATCACCCGCACTCTTGCACAAAGATTTTCAAACAAAGTGCTTGAAAGAATACGTTAATCCTCAATAGATGGTAAGTATATTGTTGTTATATTTTATTACATAGCTGGATAATGAGTTCTTTATGATTTATTAGAAACTAACAATTTAATGAAAAAACATGTTTACTATGAAATTATAAGTCAAAGTCAATATTACTGCTATAGAAATAGACAATGTAATATCGCTTAGTATATAACAACATATTTTTTAAATAAATTTAGCAAAATTATTAAGAAGGTAGTCGGTCTTAGAATAGCTCGGACGAAGCCGCATATAAAGAGATAGTATAAACTAAAATGAAGTCTGTTAAAAACGGGTATTATGCGAGGTGACATTCTTGTTATAAAAGGTTCAATATTGACCCAGTTTATAAAAAAAAACTTATTTTTAAACATTTAACGTAATACTTTGCGGACCGAAAAGTATGAATACGATTTTAAGATCACTTACATATGTAATGTTATTTAAATCAAAAGTACCTAACTTTATCATAGATAATATAGGCCCAGATAGAGCGGCTACCACTTTACCACGGGATCGAAAGATACGAATTATTTTATCTTTACACATGATAGACGATAAAATTGATATTAGAAATTCTGGTTCAATTTAACAGTCATTTTTTAGGAAAATAGTTGTTTGTAACTCTAATTTGTACGTTTAAACATGTTTTTATTATCAAGTATGATTTTTAAAAAACAAATAATATGTAAAATGAATTCAATTAATTATTCAATATAGGAAACTCATTATACAAGACTAGAAATACGACTTAATAATTCGACCTTAACATATATTTAATATTGTACTTATGTCGATTATTAAATACTAAGATAAACTAAGGTAAAATACTTGTTTATTTACTGTACTTAATTATTTTGCTACTATAATTGAATTATGTAAAAATAAATATTTACAGCTCACTAGCTGTGATAGTAGTCTATGTGTTCTTCCAGATTATGTTCTACGTCGATGCCAAATTTTAGCGAGATCCATGCAGTGGTTCTGGAAATACCTTCAATCAAACTTCGATCCATCCATTTAAACATTCGCAGTTATAATATTAGTAAGAGAAACAGTTATCATTTTCTTATTCCCCACTGAATTTAGACCACCCGAACGTATTTCCAGACAATTCATCAGATCCTAAACACCAGTATATGATGACAACTTAATGCTCAATAGATTATAGCTCTATTTTCCGTTAGTGTCTCAGCACTGGATCTGGCATATTGCCAAACTTATAAAAATGTATTATTTTTGTCGATCATTTGTATTGTTCACGGCCCTCCATCGTATAAAATTTTATACTTAATTGCAATCGTTAATGTGTATTATTTCCTTTTTTTTTTAAATATTAGCAGATTTTTTTGTAAATTTACTAATATTTCTTTACCCATTCCAACTAAGCTCTACGCTTGTGCTAGGATATGGTTTACGACAATAGTCGAATGGCGGGATTCGAACCCCCGACCTCGTGGTCGAAAATCCGTATTCTTAGGCTCTCATTAGGCTATTGACGCTTCAAGACAAAATTTATCTCCGGGTTGTTTTTTTTGTTCTGTTTTACATTTTTATATTCCATATATTAACGTATTTTATATGTTGACTACGTCTTTACCAAACTAGGTCTCATAATATTCACATTTGCACGTTTACCACCTTTCTCTAAAAAAATATATCTATATTGTAAATCAGTTCTAGGCAGATGGATCTAAAGTGTGATAACTCTATTACCTAACATCGTAGTAGTATTCATGAGAATATCGATTTTGACTACTAATTTAATTTGGTTGTAGTAAGATTTCCTTCATGTATTTGCAACGCATTTCAATATGTCGTTGTACTTCACGCAACCGATATACGCTTTTGTTGAGGATTTGTACAGAATTCATGTATCAATGCCAATTTCAGTTTCAATATCTGTATCAGTTCTCTACAGGACTTTATTATATTTAATTTTGACCAAAACAATTTTTAGCCTATTTTAATAATCCGCAAATAAATGTCATATTAATGTGTGAATATAAGATTTAAATTATTGTTATTTAAATTCTGTTTAAAATATGAAAAACGTTAAATTAATTCGACCTATTTATGTATGTGTTTTGCGCATATAAATACTTGTCCGTACTGGGAATAATGTCGAATGAAAAATTAAAGCAATTTACTAATGAAATAGGTGCGGTGGTGTGGCGGGACTGTATACCATATTGTTATATGCTTATTATAACTATTGCGAATATTGAACATAAATAGCTAAGCAACAGAAATACTGTGATAGTAAAAAGTTAGCCTTGTTCTTCTTCATCGTTGCAGTCTTTTCAGACTGGCCGGGGTAACTGAGACCCGCTTTATGAGCCGCTGCCACTCATCACTAGCATCTACCTTTTTTGTACATCGTTACAAGTTGACAAAATTCTATTGTTATAATAAAA